TTTTTTTTTTCACGTTTCAGTAACAAATACCCGTCATAAAGGTCAGTAACAAATTTTTAATGATCACACGTAATGACTGAAGCGTTTAACAATCTTGACAATCTCGACTCGATTCATTGTGATGAATTTTTTCGAATAAGATCGATAATATTCGAGTTATTAAATTCTAGGATTCCTTCTTTGCTTATAAATGATGGTGATAAAGAGAGAAACACAGAGTCATTAAAATCCAACGTGCAAAACGAATCGCCAGTAAATCCAAATTATTCCACAATTTCTCTTCTTATAGTTCCATTCTCTCTTCTTTTCTACGTTTCTACAAAAACGTTTAATCGTTCACCTGAATTATGAACCGAATATTCGTTAAAAGATTGATTATGGACCAACGAAGCGATACCCCCACCCCCTCTGATCGAATTTCCTCGGCCATCCGGGGAGAGCGATGACTGATAATTACCCGATGATATGGTTAAATTTTATTCACGGGAATTACGTGGCCCGTTGAATGCGTATCGATGCATTGTGCCGATAATTACGTCGTATGAAATTATTAGCAACGCCACGCCACGCCACGCCGCGGTTCCGTGCTTCTTTCGTCGAATGACGATGAATGATAGCCACGATGAGAGATCGAATTTTAATAACCTCCTCGATCCTTTCGCCTTGAATTTCGAATGGGATCGAGGTTGGGGAAAATCGGTTGGGAGAAGTGATCGCATTAATCTGGACGGAACCTGGAGCGTTGCTGAGAAACACCGATGCGGGATGATAGAAGAATATAAAAGGCGCGAGGAAAAAAGGAGGAGGGAAGAAGCGTTGCCACGCTTCCAATGAATTATGCATTGGTTATATTATAACGCGAAAGTATCAGTTTAGCGTGTAAATATGCAATGAGAATGTAAAAAATGGTGGAGGGAAAAAAAAAAAAAAAAAAGGAAAAAGGAAAAAATTCAATGTAAATTCCCTCCGACCAACGGACTCTGTTTTCGATGACCTCGTTATATTCGACCGTTTATGAATAATTTTGCGAACACTTTTTACGAGCCAAATATTCTCGAAATTTAATCACGCACACGAAATCGACACCATACATCCCTTTTACAAACACTCCTTCGTTCACACTTCTTCTAATGCCTCGCGCGATATTTATTTTTAATCTTCTATATCGCCTCTGCAATAATATATATATATAAATTCAATATTACAATGCATCTCAAGCCCTTGCAAATTTCGAAAAATTCAAAATTTTAAAATTGAAAGGATTAAGCAACGAATACCGGTATCCAATTTTATATAATATCGAATCTATCCAAAAGCACATTGGCGACGATATTATATCCATATAAAACAAAAAAAGAAGAAGAAAAAGCACGGGGCTCGATGGGTGATGAATATTCGAAACGACGAGGGTGGGGGAGGAGGAGGCACGATGACGAGTGGCGCGAAGTGGCGGAAAGTTTCCTGTGGCGTATCGCTTTTGCCGCGCGCGTATGTGCGCATAAACGTCAGTTACATTAACGAGAACGCTCGATATTCGGCCCGCAGGTCTCCGTGCAGGAGGAGGGCGAGGACAAGGGACCAATTTGCCCTCCGCTTCCGGCGCAGTACCACCCGGCCGCCTACGCCACGACGACACCGCAACTACACAAAACTATCACGGATTACAGCGGTTGGTAGTTGACGTTAAGTGCGACACTTAAGCCTTTCGAATTTCCAACCCATGCGCATGAACAGTTACGCCGATTTAAATTAATTCGAGCCCGGCTCGAAGGAGGAGTTTCACGATTATCAACAACGTGTTCCGCCAAGTTTATCAACCCGAATTTCCAGCTCGAAATTTTCGTAACGTTCCATTCCCGAATACGGACGGTTACACCTTTCGTC